CCGGCGTGAGCCAGGAACCATCCGAACAAACTCTGCACCTGTGAGTGCGTTTCCCTCTGCGGAGGCTGACCACAGAGCCATTAGGCCGAGGCGCCCAAGCTTGGTGAGCTGGCACACCTCCAAGACCAAGAGTAGAGTATGTAAAATGCAGATGCCCAGGCCACAGAGGACCTGCTTCCTTCACCAGCGATCTGCATCTCAGCATGCACCCAGGGGCTGTTCCTACGACAGGACTCCCCGAAGAGGAATCTGATTAGTTAGGAGGGTTGCAATGCTTTTTTTTTTAACCTAAAAGCAAAACAGGTGCAATGATCCTTACACAGAGTAGCTGCCAGAAATAGTTGAAAACGATCCAGGATAATTAAATCAGAATCAAGTTTCAGAGCCCTGGAAAGGCGCCCAACAACTGACATCACAGTCCCCCGGCTCCAACGCTGTGTCCAACAGTCACTGGCTGTCAGGTCTGGACGGCGCACCGTGCATGTCACAGAGCATAGCGTGGAGCGGATCCTCAGTCAAGGAAGCCCATTCCAAACTATATATATATATATAAATATGTGTGTGTGTGTGTGTGTGTGTGTGTGTGTGTGTGTACATACAGACAGTGAAGTCGTCTGGATATTCATACATTTATATGCATACATATATTTCATCACGTATTTCTACATAGAGAGAGAGAGAGAGTTAAGTACTTCTGAACAAATAATGCACTAATTTCAAAGCTTCCTCGGCCTGTATATACTGTACTTCAATATGTTTTTTTTTGGAAACTGATCTCAATCAGCATGATATAAAATTGTCTGCAAAGATATTTCACTTACTAATGTTTAAAAAGTTCATATTTTTAAAAGCTTATTTCTTCAGAGAGAGAAAGTCAGTCAGCTCTCCCTCCTCGCAAAAGCCCCTACCCACGACAGGGTCCCGGTGCCGCGGTCCACACCCGGCCTCACTGGCCCAGACTGTGGACACCCGCGTGCCCAGCCTACGAGGGAGGTCTCTGGACATGGACCAGCACCTTCCCACGTGGCCCGCCTTCCACAGCATCGCACCGCACAAGGGTGCCACCACCCGGCCCTTAACAGTATTTTTTAACTTGTATAGGAAACAATGAACATTCTAGAAAATGCAGATGTATCATCCAACTCCCACAGAAATATAGAATCTGAAATATAGTTTGTGAAGAAGTCTATGATTCCAATATGTAGTTATTTGAGATTTTTCTGTGTGATCTCTTAATTCTGTTAAGAGTGCATTACTTTTATGGCAAAGACCTAAACAATACCAACCTCCTTAACCTAATCGATTTCCTTAAGTTACTGTAGGGTGCATGCCAGAGGAAGGGAGAGCAGGAGGGAGGGCGGGCGAGCAAGCAGGGGGCGTGCTCACACGGCGATCCCTCTCCCCCATCTCCTCCTTCCCATCGGGAGTCTGGACGTGCCGCCGCACATGCCCAGCGTTTACCAGCTGCTGGGACTGGGATGCACACGGCAGTCCGCCATGCAGGATCTGGCTCCCAGGAACCAGGCTCAGCCCCTGCACGGGGGGACGGCTCTGCCCTAACTGCTAACACCCGACCCCACAGGTGCAGGGCACACAGTACTTTCAGATACATGTGAGAATCCAACAGAAAGGCCTGACGTAGACCCTGAGACTGTCTCCACCCATTTCAGAAGCCATGCTGCTGACCATCCACATCCCGATGGCCCGACCCTATCTGTCTGGAGTATGAACGCTGAGTGGGGCTGCAGGGAGGAAGAATGAGATCATCAGATCAGCAATGGGTGCGTCCTGCCCCTTCCCAGCATCACTGTGTCCCACGCACTCAGGAGTACGGAGACAGCGTACGGCACTAAGGCAGAGCACCCTTCTCAGCCCTAACACTACGAAGACCAGCTCGCATCGTGTGCTCACGCACTCCTGCAACACCAGCTTCCACCACGGGCACCCCAAGCCACACCAGAGCTAGGCATACCGGCTCTTCCTCCCTCTACTGAATGTCAAGCAGGCCGGTGCCACCGTAAGGGAAAAGCTCCATCTGGAAGGTAAAAAGGAAACACAGAGAAACAGGCATGCTCTTCCCAGGAGCTCAGAGTGCAGGGAACCAAGGAGGAAAGCACACAGACGACCACTCAGCTTCCTCCGTGGCAATCCAAGCGTCCAGACCAAGTACAATGATAGATACCAGAGACACACAAAGACCGTGCAGCCATGTGGGCTACACAGAGACACACAGAGACCACGCAGACCAAGTACAGAGATAGATACCAGAGACACACAGAGACCACGCAGACCAAGTACAGAGATAGATACAGAGACACACAGAGACCACACAGACCAAGTACAGAGATAGATACCAGAGAGACACACAGAGACCATGCAGACCAAGTACAGAGATAGATACACAGAGACACACAAACACCGTGCAGCCATGTGGGCTACACAGAGACACACAGAGACCATGCAGAACAAGTACAGAGATAGATACACAGAGACACACAGAGACCATACAGACCAAGTACAGTCATAGATACACAGAGACACACAAACACCGTGCAGCCATGTGGGCTACACAGAGACATACAGAGACCACGCAAAACAGGTACAGTGATAGATACACAGAGACACACAAAGACTGTGCAGCCATGTGGGCTACACAGAGACATACAGAGACCACGCAGAACAGGTACAGTGATAGATACACAGAGACACACAAATACCGTGCATCCGTGTGGGCTACACAGAAACATACAGAGACCACGCAAAACAGGTACAGTGATAGATACACAGAGACACACAAACACCGTGCAGCCATGTGGGCTACACAGAGACACACAGAGACCACGCAGACCAAGCACAGTGATAGATACACAGAGACTCACGAAGACCATGTAGCCATGTGGGCTACACAGAGACACACAGAGACCACGCAGAACAAGTACAGAGATAGATACAGAGAGACACACAGAGACCATGCAGACCAAGTACAGAGATAGATACAGAGAGACACACAGAGACCATGAAGCCATGTGGGCTCAGCTATGGTTCTTGGACATGAAACCATTTCTTTCTCAACCCAAAGAAAACCAACAAAACAGGCCTACTGGCGGTGTGCAGGTGGTGGGTACTAACTTACAGTGCAGGAAGCCATGTGGCTGACCACGGGCCCAGACCCCGAGCTGACCTGATACCTGCCAGGCACACACGCCCGAGATGATCCGAGGGCTGGGACAAGGAACTGCGGCCTGACGACACCCTGCCCAAGTTCCTCCATCTCACACACCCTCTCATGAAATTTAAACTTTGTTTTTTAAAAAAGACTGCTTAAAAATAAAAAAGGGCTACTATCCAAGCTTCTTATTTACAATAAATCCCCAGGCTCGGGAGGACAAGCCCACTCACTGCCGCGTGAGCTTGGGCACGGCGGAGCACAGGCCGCACTGCCGTCCCCCGTGTGTCCTGCTTTCCCAGGGCTTCCCACCATAACTTGGGCTACTTTGACAGAAGAAATACCAGGAAGGAAGGAAGGGGGAGGGGGGGAGGAAAAGTAGGAAAGGGAAACAGGGAAGGTGGGAGTACGAAGTTTAGAAATGGAGAGAGAACACGCGGAGGTCAGCACCACGCGCGTCGGGCCCTTCCCAAGGTACGGCGGGAGCCCATCGCGGGCATCCGTCATAACTGCGTGTAGCGGCTTTCGGCTTCGGAATCGAGCATAACACACTGACTACAGTTTAAGTTTCCAGATGGTTCTGTTCACACGGATAGCACAGAAGGATCTGAGAGTTACCAATTCCTTCCTGGCTCCCAGGAAAGCCCGTGGCCGGCAAGGAGAGATGCCATCGACTCCCGCACAGGCAGGAGCACTTTGCGGTTCCCACACAGCACAGTTGGCCCCCAGAAGCTCCATGCACACGCCACCGCGGCGGGTGCCCACGGATCTGGTATGCTTAAACTTACTCAATATTTGGTCAATTGGAAATGTTTTACTTCACACAAAGCAAGCTTGTCAGACACCCAGCAGTTCTGAGCCTGGCGCGATGCCATCGGGGACGCAGGAGTAAACAAGCCCCAGTGGCTGCACTCGCCCAGCTCCAGCACAGTGGGCCGGGCAGGAGGGTGAGGCTGACAGCCAGAACCCAGGCGGCGCCACCACCTGGCTGGCTGAAGGCCCTACGCCCTTACAGGTGCTCTCTAAGGAGGTCGGTCCTCAGTCACCCGCCGGCCATGACAGTGACAGCTGTGGCCGTGTGCCCTCTGCAACGTCGGCCCAACACAGGCAAGGGTGTGACCGAACAGTTGCAGGAGCCCGCTCTGGCCCAGCCACCACACCACACTGCAGGAAAGACTGCTGACTGCACAAACTTCCTGTTACACAGTCTTGAAATGTGGAGAGTCACTCCTCCTCCTCTTCCTCCAAGACATCAAAAAAAGAAAAGGTGGGGGTGGGGTGGAGGGTCACAGCCACAGCAGAGACGGTGCCGTGGAGTGATGTGCACCAGAACGATGATGGGGGGGGGCGCTTTCTGAGCGCCCACCAGGCAGGCGTCGGCCGTGCCCGCCTGTGCCCAGGAAGGCAGCCCACCGCAGGCCGGCCGTCGGTGCAGCATCTCTGGCCAGCGAGGGACCACACCCCAGAGACCGTGAGTAACCTGTCCTGAAACAGAGCAGTCACGACGACAGACCTGAAGTCAGACAGGAAAGATGCTCTACCTGGTGGAAACAGAAGGAAAACTAGCACAGAAACAGTCACTCCACACTTCCATGTTATAAGTTGTGATTTTAAAATTCCCACTTAGTATCAGGTCCCGCTTGTCCAGAAAACCATCGCGCCCTGGCTTTCCAGGTAGTGAAGATCTGTAATCCTTATTAAAAAACAAAACATAAGAGAGCAGGGGGCCCCAACGATCTTCAAGAACCTGCCTAGGGCAGAGGACAGAGCATTCGCCGACCTGCCCCTCCCCATCCTCCAATGCACACTCAGGGGCACCAGGATCTGCACTCACTCGGTCTTTGTCGTCCGCCACGTCGCAGAGGATGTCATCGAGGTCCAGGATGCCCCCGTCTCCGTGTTCCAGCCGGTGCACCTGTACCCAATAGCTCGGGTCCTGCACAGAATAGAAACGGTGAATGTAGCGGATCAGGGTCACCAAAGGGCACTCGCCATAGAAACCCTGAGAGCGTCCTGCCCACACAGAGAAACCGGCCAGAGGAGGGCGCTGCAACTGCCTGAAACGCAGGCCGGCCCTGAAGTCTGGGCTCCAGTCGATTCCCGTTTCCTGACGGAGAAACGCACGCCCTGTCCTTTGGCTCAGAGGCTGATACACGATTAGGGTAGGAACGGCAGAACCCGGCGAACGCGCTGCGCAGGGAATATTGATTTCTCTGAAGTCGACTGTCTAATATCTAAAACACATATCAACCCCTGACTGCAACCGGCAGAAATGTTCTGATCAGCAAGCAGCATATATTATATGTCTGGAAACTTGTATTTTTGCTTAACTGCAAAAAAGCAGGTCACAGAGCCTCAAGATCAAAGTGCTCCTTCCAAACAAGTCTGAAGATACTGCCACGGAAAGACGCTGACGCGGGTCGGAGAACAAAGCAGGCTCGTGGAAACGCACAGGCTTTTCTGCCCATTGTGTGGTGTGTCCAGGACCCACACACACCACAGCCCGCACGGTCCTCACTGTCAGTGGTACCAGGACAAGGCGAAGAAATATATATGTACATATAACATAAAAATATCTATTAATACAAAATCATAATAAAAATTCATATGTATTTTTAAAGAGAGATTTTTGCTATAGGGAGCATGCGCTCACTGGACAGAGACAGAGATAGAAAGCAAGAAATCACCCCCTGTTGGGCTTGGCCACACCACGATCCCTTCTCTCCCATTCTCCTCTTGGGATCTTGGGCACGCACGCAACCACACCAGCCTGAGTGTCAAGCCTCAGGGTCTGGGACTTGAACTATGGTCAGCCACGTGGGAGCCCAACACCATAACCACTGTTGGTCCCAAGAAAAGGCAAGTTAAAATATTATACATTTCTATACAGTATCTGTAAAATGCATAAAACCCTGCTTACAAACTATATGGAGTTTTGGAACTTCCACCGTCACTCATTTACACATAATGAGAATGTATTCGACTGTGCGAATACAGTTAGTTGGTGCATTCTCTGCCACACAGAATTTGTATCAAAATGTCCTGTTCGAGGGGCCAGCAGATCGCGTAACGGTTACATCATTGGACTCCCACACAGTCAGCCGTGGTTTGAGTCCCAGACGCTGCGGATTAGAAAACTCCTGCCAGGCTCGTATGTATGTGTGCCTAAAATACCGAGAGGAGAATGGAGGAGAAGGAATTGTGTGGCATGGCCTTCCTCCAAGGGGGTGCTTTCCCACTTTCTATCTCTCTGGATAGCGCACGCATCCTATGGCAAAAATCTCTCTTAAAAAAAAAAAAAAGAAAGGAAGGAAGGAAGGAAGGGAGGGAGGGAGGGAGGGAGGGAGGGAAGATAAGTCCCATTCAAGCTAGCACATCTTTTCAATCTAAAAATTGCTTTGGATACAGTTCTTTCTGGGAAGAACGGGGCAGTGATTAATGATCATTAAAAATACAGATTCCTGGGGCATGCCCCTGACCTACTAAAACTCTCTGGGGGTGAGCCCAGGGACTCCCTATTCTTAAGCAGCTCTCCAAGTGAATCTCTAACAAAGGCGTGCCTGAGAATCACTGAAACGGAACACTTGTTGGAAAAATGCAGAATTACCAACCTTGTCACTTTTTAACCAGCACAAGCATGCAGATCTCAATTCCCGAAGGTATTAAACACCAACGCACAAACTGCTATGCACATAAGCGCTGCATCCTCCTCTACCTGGACCTCTGTATGAGGAGCTGTTCCTCCAAAACATCCCAAACAAGTGTGTAAACGCACACCCACACACACACACATCCCACCACACACCCTCCTCCATCTGGACCTCTGTGAAAGGAGCTGTTCCTCCAGAAGATCCCGAGCAAGTATGTAGACACACACACACACACACACACCCTCCTCCATCTGGACCTCTGTATAAGGAGCTGTTCCTCCAGAAGATCCCGAGTGTGTAAACACACACACACCACACCCTCCTCCATCTGGACCTCTGTATAAGGAGCTGGTCCTCCAGAAGATCCCAAGTGTGTAAACACACACACACACACCCCACTGCACCGTCCTCTCTGGCCGACTGCACATGAACTCCCTGGTGACATGTCATTCAGGGACCCCTCAGAAACCTGCCACTGTGCATTCCAAGCTCTAGCTCTGTGGGGCTCCTAAGCAACGTCCCCAAACTGTACCCTGTCCCTACTCCTCCTTAGCAAAGGGGATTAATTCTCTAAGGGAAATTAGAAGTAATCCGCTGGGCGTGAATAAGGAAAAAGTGTCCCCTCTCTGTCACACCTGGCCCATTAGAACCGACATCGCATGCTGCAAGCCAACTGGACAGGACGGAATCGAGTTTCACTTCCAAAGCTCCTTTCCACTCTGTGTCCTTCCATGACGGCGGATACCCCTGCCAGGTCTCTCCACACTCATGACCCTCTGCAGCCTCCCAGTCAGCAGGGGTCACGGGCACAAACAGGAATG